GATGAAATTTAAAACTTTTTGTTTTGCTGAGCAAACTGCGGAGGAAGTGTAATATTTTGAGAAAACAAAAAATATAATAATTAGAAAATGCCAAGAGCTATATTTTGTTTTATTTGTAAAAAAAAAAAAATTAATCAAAATAATTGAAGAAAATGGTATTACTTTGATTGTTCCAATAAAATATAATAATAATAACAATAATTAACAAACGCCAGTTGTGATACTTTATATTGTATGAACAAAACAGCAATAATCATTATTATATAACTAAAACGATGTTACATTGTAATGTTTGAACAAAACAAACTTGATAACAATAAACATGACATTTAAAAATACGAAGGTTTTAAGTTTCAGGCCTCGAATTATTAAAGTATGATTTACTTTCATTGAATTATTACTATAACAACGATTCATTTCTCTTCTCTTCAGGATGATAATAATAATAATAATGAGTGTTATTAAACTTTAGTTTTCTTTGTAAGTTTGCTACTGGAACAACGTTTGGTTGGCTTCATTTCATTTTCGGATTATAATTGATTATATTGAAGTTCAGTTTTTTTTATGGCATTACTACTGAAACAAAATTTCATCTCTTTTCATCTGTCATTTACATATTGTATTTGTTGGAGAATAATTCTGGAGATTCTAGCTTTTATATCTGAATGTAATTATGTGTAAAAAATGAACGAAACTCGAGATAGGTTAAGGCAATAAATATGTACGTACAATACATATGGAATTAAATTTTCTATTTTATACATTTTGTAATAAAATATTCAGTTTCATAATATTACAAGCAAATATTGTCCCCGGTGAAGGGAAACGTTTAAATTAATCTATCAATTTAAATTACTTAGTGGACTTTAAAAAGGTTTATTGAGTTGCAGTCTTGGTTTCACACAGAACCAAAGCTCAACAATAACATACGGTAAATCTACATTTTTATTCTTTAAGTTAAGTCACATTTTGAAATGTGAATAATGGTGTGATTAATTCGTAACAATTTAGTGCAGAACATCCTGCTTGGGAAATAAAATTTGGCATCAGCATTATTCCTGCCTGTTCACCAGTCATTTCAAAAGGGAATGTTGAGATTTGTCTGTGGGCACAAAGGGAAGCGGGCGCCGTAAATGGGAGACAGGCGAACACTTGGACAGACACCACGGTTCGGAATATATTGTTTGTTTGTTTTGAAATTTCGCGAAAAGCTACACGAGGACTATCTACGCTAGCCGTCCCTAATTTAGCAGTGTAAAACTAGAGGGAAGGCAGCTAGTCATCACCAACTAGTGGGATTGACCGTCACATTACAACGCCCCCACGGCTGAAAGGACTAGCATGTTTGGTGTGACGGGGATTCGGACCCGCGACCCGCAGATTGCGAGTCGAGTATCCTAACCACCTGGCCATGCTGGGCCATCGGAATATTTTTTTTTTGTTTGGGATTAAATACAAAGCTACACAATGCGCTATCTGTGCCCTGCCCACCACCGGTATCGGAACCCGGTTTGAAGCGTTGTAAGTCCGCAGACATACCGCTGTGCCACTGGGGGGCTCGGAATATATACAAGATGTGATCATGTAATTATCATCAGTTCTATAAAATAATGTAAACATGATATTGCTGTCAGCATTTTATGAGTTTTAGAGTTTTGTAAGACTTTACCAAGAACTTAGTAATATTACAAGCAGCCAATTAGTTTTATTACATAAAACTTGCTCTTAAAACCTGAGTAATGTAAAACAGAAGTACATTGATAATATGTTAATTGTCCATTCTTAGTGATTTCTTCAGCCAAGGAAGGAAAGTACGTCTGAAAAAAAATCTATCTCTCGTTATAAAATAGTAATGTAGGTAGGTATATATGTTATAAAATAGTAATGTAGGTAGGTATATACATTATCAAATAGTAATGTAGGTAAGTATAAATGTTATAAAATAGTAATGTAGGTATATACATTATCAAATAGTAATGTAGGTAGGTATATATGTTATAAAATAGTAATGCATGTAGGTATATACATTATCAAATAGTAATGTAGGTAGGTATATACATTATCAAATAGTAATGCAGGTAGGTATATACGTTATAAAACAGTAATGCATGTAGGTATATACATTATCAAATAGTAATGTAGGTAGGTATATACGTAGGTAGGTATATACATTATCAAATAGTAATGTAGGTAGGTATATATGTTATCAAATAGTAATGTAGGTAGGTATATACGTTATCAAATAGTAATGCATGTAGGTATATACATTATCAAATAGTAATGTAGGTAGGTATATACATTATCAAATAGTAATGCAGGTAGGTATATACGTTATAAAACAGTAATGCATGTAGGTATATACGTTATAAAACAGTAATGTTGGTAGGTATATACATTATCCAATAGTAATGCAGGTAGGTATATACATTATCAAGTAGTAATGTAGGTAGGTATATACATTATCAAATAGTAATGCAGGTAGGTATATACATTATCAAATAGTAATGTAGGTAGGTATATACATTATCAAATAGTAATGTAGGTAGGTATATACATTATCAAATAGTAATGCATGTAGGTATATATGTTATAAAATAGTAATGAATGTAGGTATATACGTTATAAAACAGTAATGCATGTAGGTATATACGTTATAAAATAGTAATGCAGGTAGGTATATACGCTATAAAATAGTAATGCAAGTAGGTATATACATTATCAAATGGTAATGCAGGTAGGTATATACGTAGGTAGGTATATCCATTATCAAATAGTAATGCAGGTAGGTATATATGTTATAAAATAGTAATGAATGTAGGTATATACATTATCAAATAGTAATGTAGGTATATACATTATCAAATAGTAATGTAGGTATATACATTATCAAATAGTAATGTAGTTAGGTATATACATTATCAAATAGTAATGTAGGTATATACATTATCAAATAGTAATGTAGGTATATACATTATCAAATAGTAATGCAGGTAGGTATATACATTATCAAATAGTAATGTAGGTATATACATTATCAAATAGTAATGTAGGTATATACATTATCAAATAGTAATGTAGGTATATACATTATCAAATAGTAATGTAGTTAGGTATATATGTTATAAAACAGTAATGCGTGTAGGTATATACGTTATAAAATAGTGATGTAGGTATATACATTATCAAATAGTAATGTAGGTAGGTATATACATTATCAAATAGTAATGAATGTAGGTATATATGTTATAAAATAGTAATGTAGGTATATACATTATCAAATAGTAATGCAGGTAGGTATATACGTTATCAAATAGTAATGCAGGTAGGTATATACATTATCAAATAGTAATGTAGGTAGGTATATATGTTTAAGAATAACTTCTTTCGTTTTAAGGACAAAGTTTTAAATACAAATAATTTTTCTGTGATTAAAAAGTGTAATACGATTTTAGAGTCTGAAATGATAAATATCCTATAAATACCAAGCTTTTTTATAATTAGCAATGTATTTAGGAGTTTGTAGTGATATAGAACTCTCTATAGTTCTCTAAATGTATCACGCAAAGACTATTTGTTTTGGTTTCATATTCATTTCCCATTAAGTGAAAAGAACGTTGTGTGGACATGAATCAAATATAGAGAAGTAATCTAAAACAAGCGCAGTGACCCAAATATATGCATAACCATAATGATAAGACTTTATGACAGCATGCATAGCGCTGGAAAAGTTAATAAGTCAATTTTCTCTTTATATGTAGACAGATGGTATAAATTTATGTTTTTGAATTACTGTTCTATATGAACTGGAGAGAGATAGATGGAGTAACAGAACATGTTGCTTGTAACTTTCCAACGTGAATTGGCGAGAGATAGATGGAGTAACACAACATCTTGTTGGTAACTTTCCAACGTGAACTGGCGAGAGATAGATGGAGTAATCCTACATATTGTTGGTAACTATCCAACGTGAACTGGCGAGAGATAGATGGAGTAACACAACATATTGTTGGTAACTGTCCAACGTGAACAGGCGAGAGATAGATGGAGTAACACAACATATTGTTGGTAACTGTCCAACGTGAACAGGCGAGAGATAGATGGAGTAACACAACATATTGTTGGTAACTGTCCAACGTGAACAGGCGAGAGATAGATGGAGTAACACAACATCTTGTTTGTAACTGTCCAACGTGAACTGGCGATAGATAGATGGAGTAACACAACATCTTGTTTGTAACTGTCCAACGTGAACTGGCGAGAGATAGATGGAGTAACACAACATCTTGTTTGTAACTGTCCAACGTGAACTGGCGAGAGATAGATGGAGTAACACAACATGTCGTTGGTAACTGTCCTACGTGAGCTGGCTGTTCAGCTTTAGAATTTTCTGTATTTTTTCCGTCTATTTTTGTTTCCGACGTGACGTTTAATTGTTAAGCGTATTATCCTAAAAACGAAAAATTATAAATAAAGGGAATCTATTGTTTTCCAGTGCTCAGCATTTCAAAACACAAATATTTTATTGGTTTCTTCTGCTGTGATTTTCTAGATTTCTTCAAATTGTGTAATATGATTGAATTGTAAAAACTGAGTTTGGGAATTCTCGATAAACATTTGGATTAAAAAAAAAAGATTTTGTGAATCGTGGGTCACAACGGACGATTTTCTCTAGAGAGATAAGGATATATTTAAAGATATATTTTTCTCGCAACACTACTAAGATTTTCCCGAACTTTATTGAATGTTTCTATCTCACAAATAAAATTTATATTGTGAAATTCCTGAATTCACCTCTATTAAAAGGGCTGTCTTGATTTTTAATGTGTGGAAGTTGCGTGCGCAGCTGCAGTAAGGCGAATGATAAAGCGAGATCCTAGCCAGCATTCCTCGTGAAGTAACTGGCGCAACAGCTGGGCTCTGAATTGAAATCTTCCTGTATCAAGCAACGGTTAGGTTTCGATAATATTGTTAACCGCCTTCATCAGTTAGGCACAATCAAAATGGATCCGAGTAACTTCGTAAACAACACTAATATTTCTAACATCGAGCGTGAGCTAGAGGCCTTGGGTCCAGACTTGCAAATTTTTCTAATCGCTCTATATTCTCTGAGCGCATTCTTAGCATTAGGCGGGAATGTTACTGTCATCGCCGTCTTAACTTTTGGGAAGAAGTCTTCCCGTGAGTTACGGGCCTACCTCGTCAACTTAGCAGCTTCAGACATCACTATGGCGACCTTTTCAATCCCTTTCACCTACACGGACTTTATGTTAGGGCGATGGATTTTTCAGCCATTTTTTTGTCCTATCGTGTTGTTCATGCAGCATTGTTCAGTTACTGTTAGTGTTTTTACCCTAACAGTCATCGGATTAGACAGGTCAGTTTCTCTTCTCTTTATACTGAGTTAAGAACTTGATACATGACATATCAAGCTAAGTTATACAAGCTCAGAATTTTTAGCACATGACTTCTTAGGCTAATCTATACAAGCTCCGAGCTTTTTGTCACATGATTCATGAGGCTAATCTATACAAGCTCCGAGCTTTTTGTCACATGATTCATGAGGCTAATCTATGCAAGCTCCGAGCTTTTTGTCACATGATTCATGAGGCTAATCTATACAAGCTTCTGGTTTTTTGTCATATGATTCATGAGGCTAATCTATATAAACCCCGAGCTTCTTGTCACATGATTCATTAGGCTACTTTATACAAGCTCCGAGCTTCTTTTCGCATAATGCATTAGGCTAATCTTTACAAGCTCCGAGATTCCTGTCATATAATTCATTAGGCTAATATATATAAGCTCCGAGATTCCTGTCATATAATTCATTAGGCTAATATATATAAGCCCCGAGCTTCTTGTCACATGATTCATTAGGCTAATATATACAAGCTCCGAGATTCCTGTCATATAATTCATTAGGCTAATATATACAAGCTCCGAGATTCCTGTCATATAATTCATTAGGCTAATATATACAAGCTCCGAGATTCCTGTCATATAATTCATTAGGCTAATATATACAAGCTCCGAGCTTCTTTTCGCATAATGCATTAGGCTAATCAATGAAGATTATTTCAAAAGATTGGTAAAAAGCCGAACCGTTCGTTTGTTAGGGAACATGTGACCAGTGTTATTGTCCTGCGTTATGATGTGAAAATTGTCCAACAATATACGTGTTATTTGTGTGTTGAAACGTAAGTGTAAAGGGGATGTGGGAGTGGGAGTGTGTTGGTTGAAACAAGGTTAGACGCGTGCAGTTAGATGTTTTAGATTGTCTAGGGTGTTGGTGTAATAAATACTGATATGATATAAGCTAAGCAGTTTCTGAAAAGCTGAATTCGGACGTTTATTGTTAGATTAGAAGAGAAATAAGGTAGCCACTTTTTTATGCAAAAGTTGAACATGTTGTTAGATTTGCTATTATAATCTTTGTCGTTACTGCAGAGCTCCGGGTTTCTTGTTATACGACTTCTCAGGCTATGCTATAGAAGCACCGGGTTTCTTGTTATACGACTTCTCAGGCTAAACTATAGAAGCTCCGAGTTTCTTTTTATACGACTTCTCATGCAAAACTATAGAAGCTCCGGGTTTCTTTTTATACGACTTCTCATGCAAAACTATAGAAGCACCGGGTTTCTTGTTATACGACTTCTCAGACTATGCTTTACAAATTCCGAGATTCTTGTTACTCTACTTCTCAAGCTAAGCTTTACCAATTCCAAACTTTGTGTTACACGACTCTTTAGGCCAAGCTAAACAGGTTCCGAGTTTCGTGTTACACGACTTCTCAGGCTAAGCTTTACAAATTTCGAGATTCTTGTAGCTCTACTTCTCAAACTAAGCCTTATCAATTCCAAACTTGACGCATATTGAGACATTTCGTTGACAGCAGAATGGTGAACTGTTTCTAAGCCAATAAAACAGCTATTAGACAAGTCACACTATCATCCACAATTAAGAAGATGAACGCTTTCCATCATTTCTGGCTCGCTGAAAAAGATCTGTAAAGACAGGCATCATAGATAGGCCACTATCCAGGGGAAATAAGATTTGAAACGCCATAGAAAAAAAGATAAGAAGAATGAAAAAGAAAGTTCATAATTAATAATCTATATCCGATCTTACCACAAGTACATAACCTTTGAACTTTTCTTGTTCCACTTGAGAAAGTAATTCGTTCTGACTTTAGTCTAATGGATGACTAAAATGGGTGACATATTACTTACAGAACGGAACAAAAGGATATAATGAAATTTCATCACATTGAACACAGTGTAGCATTAGTCTTAACTAACAGTATAGCATTAATCTTAACTAACAGTGTAGCATTAGTCTTAACTAACGGTGTAGCATTAGTGCTAACTAACAGTGTAGCATTAGTCTTAACTAACGGTATAGCATTAGTCTTAACTAACAGTGTAATATTAATGTAGACAATGTCCATATAAAAACGTACGTCTACATTCTTGCTTAACTGTGTAGCATTAGTGTAGACAATGTCCATATAAGAACTTACGTTTACATTCTTGTTTAATTAAGAGTGGAGCATTAGTCTTAACGAACGGTGTAGCATTAATCTTAACTAACAGTGGAGCATTAATGTAGACAATGTCCATATAAAAACTTACGTTTACATTCTTGCTTAACTATGTAGCATTAGTGTAGACAATGTCCATATAAGAACTTACGTTTACATTCTTGCTTAACTAATAGTGTAGCATTAGTCTTAACTAACGGTGTAGCATTAATCTTAACTAACAGTGGAGCATTAATGTAGACAATGTCCATATAAAAACTTACGTTTACATTCTTGCTTAACTATGTAGCATTAGTGTAGACAATGTCCATATAAGAACTTACGTTTACATTCTTGCTTAACTAACAGTGGAGCATTAGAGTAGACAATGCCCATATAAAAACTTACGTTAACATTTTTGCTTAATTAACAGTGTAGCATTAGTGTAGACAATGTCCATATAAAACTTACGTTTACATTCTTGCTTAACTAACAGTGTAGCATTAGTGTAGACAATGTCCATATAAAGCTATGTATTGTTTAGTATTGTAACAGTTGGACTGTTCTGTTTAATCACTTAGTTAGAGTTTAGTATTGTACAGTTGGACTGCTCTGTTTAATCACTTAGTTAGTGTGTAGTATTGTAACAGTTGGACTGTTCTGTTTAATCACTTAGTTAGTGTTTAGTATTGTAACAGTTGGATTGCTCTGTTTAATCACTTAGTTAGAGTTTAGTATTGTACAATTGGACTGTTCTGTTTGATCACTTAGTTAGAGTTTAGTATTTTACAGTTGGACTGCTCTGTTTAATCACTTAGTAAGAGATTAGTATTTTACAGTTGGATTGCTCTGTTTAATCACTTAGTTATAATTTAGTATTTTACAGTTGGACTGCCCTGTTTAATCACTTAGTTAGAGTTTAGTATTGTAACAGTTGGACTGTTCTGTTTAATCACTTAGTAAGAGTTTAGTATTTTACAGTTGGACTGCTCTGTTTAATCACTTAGTTAGAGTTTAGTATTGTACAGTTGGACTGTTCTGTTTAATCACTTAGCTAGAGTTTAGTATTTTACAGTTGGATTGCTATGTTCAATCACTTAGTTAGAGTTTAGTATTGTAACAGTTGGACTGCTCTGTTTGATCACTTAGTTAGTGTGTAGTATTGTAACAGTTGGACTGTTCTGTTTAATCACTTAGTTAGAGTTTAGTATTGTACAGTTGGACTGCTCTGTTTAATCTCTTAGTTAGAGTTTAGTATTGTACAGTTGGATTGCTATGTTTAATCCCTTAGTTAGAGTTTAGTATTGTACAGTTGGATTGCTATGTTTAATCCCTTAGTTAGAGTTTAGTATTGTATAGTTGGATTGCTATGTTTAATCTCTTAGTTAGTGTTTAGTATTGTACAGTCATTAGGGGTAAATGTCAGGCTTAGGTTAGTATGAAAGGATAAGCAGATTGGTTGGACTTGTGGGATCAGTTCAGTTGGAGAAGAGAGCTTTTTGGAATGATGGTTTACATTTAAATAAGATAGGAGGTGGCTTGTTTTTTAGGGCTCCTAACTCAGCTGAAAGAGAAGTTTTATACTAGAACTACACAGTGGTTCGATGTTTTAGGTTCGATGTTTTGTTGCATATGGAGTAAGGAATAATGATAATTTGGTTACAAATTTTAAAAAATCAAATTTTGAAGGAACGCGACAATAATTATCTGTTGTGAATTGGGCAGCTGAGTTATTTGGAGACACAGATCATATATAGAAAATTTTTAAGATAATTTTTATAATTTTCAAGATAAACATATTCCTTATAGAAAGAAAAGGGTAGCTACAAGTAACAAACCAGGTTGGCTCACAAAGAACCAAAGAGATAAAATTGAAGAAAAGCATAATAAGTTTAAAATATTTTAATAAAATGATATGACGGGAGACTTAGAAGATTATAGAAGATCAAAAACGCTGATGAAACAGAAAATTAGGACATCAAAAAGGAAATAAGAGAAAAAGTTGGTTGAAAATGTAAAAATTAACAGTAAGGATTCCTTTAAATACATTAAGGTTAAACAAAATGCTAGTATGGGGCTAGGACCTTTGAGGGATGATAAAGGAAGTCTCGTACTTGATGATTAAGAGATGGCTGGGTTATTAAGTTTTGTTTTTTCTTCAGCTTTTACTAACGAAGATTTAAGCAGTATTTCAAATCGTGAACAGTTGTTAGATGGAAAAGATCAAACAAGATGACTGCATTAAGAAAAAATTGGGAAATTTAAAAAATGATAAGGCTTCTGGGTAAGATCATATTTCCCCAAGGGTTTTGAAGGAGATGAAAGATTGGATATGTGAGCCACTTACTACTATTTTTTTTTCAGCCCTTGAATAGTGAGCAGGTACCAGAGGATTGGAAGTTAGCTAATGTAACTCCTCTTTTAAAGGGAGGAGATAAAAAATCATTCTAGTAATTGTAGACCCATTAGTATTACATCAGTTGTGGGAAAGGTTTTGGAAACTCTAATAAAAGATGCTTTGAAAATTAATTTAACAAAGTTTAGAATTTTATTGGATAGTCAACATGGTTTCACTAAAGGAAAATCTTGTCTTAAAAATCTTTCTTTGACTGCTTATGTAGATGAGGGTAAGGGTGTAGATTTGGTGTATCAATGACATAGATGAAGGAATGGTCAATAAATGACTTAAATTTGCTGATGATATTAAGGTCTTGGGTTTTACTAGCTACAAAGAGGATGCTGCTGATTTACAAATGGATTTAGATCATTTAGTGAGTTGTGCAAATATATCGCAAATGGATTTTAATTATAATAAATGCAAGATAATGCATGTGCGTTATAATAATTTGAATAAT